TATGTCAGAATTAAGGGAATTACCTTTTTTCACTTCCTGGTTTTTGGCTACTGATTGATTTGTTTATCCGCCACCCATAATTCTGTGCCTATGGCCAAAACCCATTCAAAAAAAACAAAACACAGAGGTAATTCAATGTTACAGTGATAAACTACTGCCCCTCATTCACACTGCCTGAGTAAAGTGGTGGGATTGAGCAGGAATGTAAATAGCATATTGATGGAACAAACTGTGGCCATGGAATAAAACACTTTTGCTGTGGGACCTCTGCTCAGAGTGACGTCATCTAAATGTGCATTACATTCATATTTATCACTGTGCTGAAAAATGCAAGAGATATTTCTCAAACGCACTACATAGAGGATACATTTGGATCACAGAATGAATTTGTGAGTGCCAGTTAACGGTGCTTGCGGCAGGTGTGACCTATGTTGTGAAACATGAAAATGAACACAACCATGTCACAAGATAAGATTAATTGATGAGCTATGATGGGAAGAAATATGGCGGATCACATCATAAAGCATGGCAGAGATCAAATACAACATCACCCTGTATCGTTTCTAATGAAGAATTTTTAACCATTTTTTTAGGTCACACCACATGGATTTGAAAATATTATTTTTGATTATTCAAATGGAAGAACAATATTCAAATTGTGCAATACAAAAATAACAATTATATTTTTTCTAGAAATATGTGCAGAATGAAAATGAAAAAAAGGGATGGATGCAGAACGGATGGAGATCAAGCTTACCCCATTTTCCCAGTGGGAATAATGGGAAAACAATGGCGGGATGGAGACGGAGTGATGGAGGAGAAAGAGAGAGGAACAAATTACCTGCAGAAGAATCTCTCCTTGTGTATCTGGTTAGAAACAGCCCCTCCTGTTCCAATATAGTCAGAGAGAAACCACCATCAGCAAATCTTGGTCAGGATGAAACGACAGCAGACAAAATCATTCCCATCCCACACACAGAAGCTCCGTGTCGTGATGGCCGCTGTTCTAGTCCACGGCGTCTTGTCTAAGCCAGTCAAGGCTCAGAGTGTTGTTTTCTGAGCATTAGCAGCAGCCGTCCTCTCCTGCTCCACGGAGTCTGCGCATTGCTACGGCAACTGACGGAATCATCCTCCTCGCCGCCCCTCCCCCTTCTGCTCCTCTCCTCATGCACCTCACTCTCTCCGCCCCTTACCCCTCCCGCTCCCTTTCTCTCAATCTGCCATAAACCAAGTCCTAAGGAAGGGGAAAAATAGTAGGTAATGGAGAGAAGCTGTTCTGGGGCTTTTAGTCACAACTTGAACTTGTCATCGGCCACATCAGGGGTCTCTTGGCAGGATCCCCTTCTCATTATCCCTCAAAGCACGCTCAAGGGATTTTCAATGAGGAAGCCTTGCTAACAGCATGTATGCCAGTTCCTTACTGTCAAGTAATTCCTATTGAAATAAAAGCTATACATTTGGCAAGATTACAGTATTTTAATAATGTTGTGGGGTCATATAGAGTAATAGTATAGCATAGTAGGGTCAGAAAGTCTGAGACCACTATGTGAAAATGCTTCTGTATTGTATTTTTATAATAATTTAATAATAATAAAAAAATACAAGTGATATTATTGGTATAACAATTTAAGTGAAAAGTTCAAATTAACATATTGTCAAATGTCACAAATTTGGTTATTTGATTAGTGACCTATAGAATGTTTTATTGAAGTCTACATTTGTTTGTTTAAATAACGTTTATGTTTTTTCAATATCGTAATATCAGGTAGTGGATGATTTTAATTGTTCATGCTCATTTTCCCTAATTTTACATTTAGTTGCCTTTAAAAACTTGAAATACACTAACAATTTAATAACACTTTTAAATGTAATCTTTTGCAAATCTCAAAATAAATATCTATTTTTTTTACTACATTATAATGTACATCATAATGTTGTGATCCCCAAATTCCTTTGCCTTGTAGCAATCACAGCAATTGATTTTAGTTTTTAGTGTTTTATTTTTTTATTTATTTAAACAAAATAGAATAGAATTTTAATAATGTGCTGTTTATCAGTTATCGGACATGACGTGAAAATAATTATGGTAACACTCTACAGTAAGGTTTCATAACATTAGAACTAACAATGAACAGTACTTCTACAGTATTTATTAATCTTAGTTAATAAAATCAAAAGTTGTATCTGTTTAAACATCATTTGTTAATACACTTTGAACAAACAGGCAAAATACGCTGTTTCCGGCTAGATTTGTCTGACTCTGTAGGCCATCCAGCGAGTCAGAAAGACTGAGAAATGCAGCAAAGACAAAGACCGTGTTTTATAGGAACTGATGGGGCATAAAGAACCCGTTTAGTTTGGCCGTAGTATTGCCCAGTTGCCCTTTACGTCACACATATCCACACCTCCCATGTGTAATGCCCCTCTCCCTGCTGCCCTATATCCTTCACAGTTTTAATCAGCGTCTCAGCCTGTAGAAAGACACATACAGTTAGAGACGTTCTCCAGCATGCATGTGTCTGCATGCAAACAAGCTGCTTAAAATTGGCTTGCCATATTCCAGGGATTAGCATCTGATTTTGTGGATCACAGACAATGCGTTCACAGTTTTGAGCAGATGACTGTGGGAAACAACAAAAGTGTGGCACACGCTGCTTTAATAGAGCTTAGACATCACAGGATGTCTGGTCCTTATATAGTAAAGCTTCCTGTCCATGTGGCCAGATTTACTCCGAAATGCATTTCGGTGCTAGAAGCATGTGACTGAAATACAAATGCAGGTGTATTGCTTGCTACTTGAATATGAACTGTTAATAATTCTAGCATGCTTTAATATATTTGATAGTTTAGGACAGTTGTTGGCTGCATGCATGTGGCACTGCTTTGTCTATCAGACTTTAAACCATGTGAGTCCATTAATGGTTAATAAGGAGGAGGAGAGAGCAGAAAGTAACAGTAGTGGGTCTTTATGAAGGGGGAGGAATATTCTGCAAAGCTCAAAGACAAATATGACTTAATCTCCTATGGGAGTGTCAATCATTGTCGAATGTATTCAACAACTACAAAACTGTTAGATCATAAATCTGCCTATTTTTATCATCAAAATTATTTCGATGCAGAGACCTTTTCAAAGCATCTTTCAAAACCCCTTCCACTTGCCAAAACGAAAAAAAGTCTTTATTAAAAAATAAATAAAAAAATTTAAACCACAGATCATCTCATACCCCATGTTTGCTGTCCATCCATATTACATACTGCAATAACATTTGACGAAATAATGAAAAAAAAAAGAGAAATACACACAATGACCTGATTTCCTGTGCAAGACTCCCCCTTCTCACACAGATGCAACGCTTCTCCACAACACAGTCAAAAGACTTGGAATGACGGAGGCCCCATCGCCATGGTAACCGGGTTTATGCAGCTGAGCATTGCCTGGAGCAGTTGCTGTGGTTATTGGTGAAGGATTGGAACTGGCCCATTATCTCCACGCCTCCACCGAAGGCCTAATAGGTCTGAACAATGTGGCCGCAGGATTTATTGAGCTAAGATGTTGTTTCAGCTGACATTTAATATTTATGATGTGATAGCAAGTTACTGTATGTACTACATGAACCTCCAGTTGTTTTTGTAGGGCAAGATGGTAGTTTGACTCATTATCAGTAAATCAGTCAACTAAACTCAATTAAAGTGGCAATAAAATTTTTAATAAAAAATCCAACCATTCTTTTTATTAAAATAGGCCTAATAATAACATTTAATAATAACTTATTATTTTTAGCAGTAGTAATAACAGTAACAAAAATAACATTATTTTAATTTTATTACCTTTATATTATTTCGACTAGTGCCTTCTTTTTTATAATTCAGATTGAATTTTACAAAATGAAAAGTGATTTTATTGCTCACAAGGAACAAAACAGCCTCCCCGAGGAAAACACATGTTGTACGGCTACTCTATATTGTGTGACAGATTCAGTTCAGGATTTGAACACAAAGACTTGTTTTTTCTCCTCAGTCCTCATTAGTGTCTATGGGCTTGAATTCTGCAGATGTAGAGAAAGAGGTATGATCAGTACTCATCCAGGTTTCTCTTCTCAGCTTCAGAATTCACTTGGAAAATACAGCTGTCAGCACCACGGCCAGCCGATCAATAACAACGTACAGTACATCTCCTCAAAGCCAGAGGACTGCACACACTATTGAAAACTCATCGGCTAAGGTATCTGCCTTTATACTTGTTCATCTGGAACATTGTACAGTAAGTGAGTAATAAAAAATCTTATACCTAAATGCCTAGTTTGGAGTAGGTAAGGTTTTTATGTTTTTGAACGTCTCTTATGCCCACCTTACGATCAAAAATATAGTAAAAACAGTCATGTGATTTTTTTTAAAAACAATTTTAAACAACAGTTTTCTATTTTGATATATTTTAAAATGTAATTTATTCCTGTAATGGTATTTTCAGCAGCCAATCATTCTAATAGGCTGATTTGGTTCTCAACAAACAATTATTATTTTTGTTGAAAGCAATTGTGCATCTTAATATTTTGTGGAAACTTGTGATACATTCATTGATGTACCGTGTAGCTGATAATATATGTAAAATGAATACATTGTAATCCTATTATCAAATTGGCTATAAAGTGTTTTGCTGATTGGGCAAATGAGGTTAGTCTGCCCTCTTGGGGTTATCAAGAGCTACTGTTGACTGATTTTCAGCATTTAGAAACTCAATTAACCTCAAAAAGTTTCATTTTACCATGCAAATCAAATTGTTTTGGAGAAAGATGAAAAAATGAAACTGGAGTTTATTAAAGGTAAAAGATACTCATTTTAAGACCAGTTCAAACTCCTTTAGCTCTTTTAAGAGATATTTAAATATATATAAAAGATAGACCTTGTGGATTTTTATTTAATGAGAAATATTCACAATGGCAACACTACGTATAAGACCACAAAACAGCTTACTTTACACAACTTATTTTTCCAAACTGAGTTCCATTGCTGGTGAAATGACGACACGCAACACTGAAAGTTTATTTGAGGGAAAAGATGAGCGTTTTTTTCTTCTTCTTTTTAATCCGAGGAATCAAAGTAAAAACAAAATGTCATATACAGCACAAGTACTGAAAGAGCAGTTAGGCTGTCTGTTCTGTACTCATATTTTACATTAGCACAGTTCTAGAATCTCCTAGAATCCATTTTGCAAACTCTGCTAGTACCTTAGAGGGATTTCTAAATTATTTCAAAATCATATACTTACAGTTCTGCAAATATATACTGTACATACATAATATTAATATAGAAATATGGTTATCTAATGCCATTTTAAGCAGCACTTTTTTTGCACAATGATAAATGTAAAGAAAGTTGGGAAACAACTAATTCTTTGTTTTGAAAGGATACACAGTGCTAATTTGTAAAACCATATACGTGAAGTCAGTAAACACAGTGTGGCACATAGAGCCATGAGTATTCTGCAAAGAGATGCTTTAGATCTGTGAAACAGAGCGGAGGGATCACTTACACATAGAAATGTGAGCTTTAGCCCTCTGTGACAGGCCTTGCCATCTTTTACTAGTTTGACACCAAAAGCAAGGGTTCTTTACATGCTATGCAAAAAAAAAGAGGAAAAAAAGGCAATTTTATCAAACAATATCTGGAGCCTAGTGTGTGATCAGTATGTCACGATCTTTCTTCAAACACATCACAGATCTAGATCTTAGTTAGTGTTCATTGCCGGACACAAGGATCATTTACTACTTAAGTGAATGGAAGTACTAACAGAAGACCAATATTGTGAAATTGCAGTCTCACAGAAGGCAGCTCATTGTTATATAATTCATCCTGGTTTTTCGGACAGATAAACACCCCCACGGTCCTAACATGACAAGAAATAATCACGACAATGAGAGCCACTAACAAGGCAGCCGTAATGAGCCTGCAATCTCAAAATGGATATGCATCCCTTACACTACACTAAGTGTTAATACTTTTCATCCTGATCACACACTTTATCAGTATTTGCTAAGCTGTACTGTTACGGTCAAAGATTTCTAAGTACATATTGGTTAGTGACTGGTTAGAAATGTGACGTACTATGAAAGTTGATCTCCAGTGTTGGTAAAAAATGAGAACTAAAATAAGATATTAATGCCACCTGAATTCTAGAAATGACATGAATTAAAGAACATTAAACATTAAAACAACCAATGATAACTTAGTAACGCTTTAAAATAAGATTGTTCAATAGTTAATCCTTTAAAATGTATTAATCTTGATTAATGTTAACTTTTACATAAAAATAGTACATTTTTGCTTTAAACATTCGTTAACATTAGTTTATTAGCCAACACGAACTAACAAATAAGCAGTTGAATCATAATTAATTTATAAATAAACATTAACTAAGATTAATTTTTAGTTCTTGAAACCTAAGGCATTAACTAATGTTAGCATTTTGAACCTTATAGTAAAGTGTTACCCAACAACGTCAAACATTTTGGTTTCCCATACCAAAACATCAACAGCAATAACACTGAATTAAAATTCTATTTTTTTAGACACTTTTAAAAACATGGCAAGGAGCTTGTTCATATAATGTTATATCATTATATCAGCACAATCTGACAGGTAAAATAAAAATAAAATTCAGGTGCATTTCAGTTTAGCTACATACCTGTATAGAAATTAATTTGGTTTGTTTGTTGACTCTAAGCAGAAATGTTTACGTAATTTTGGGCTGATATGGAGACACTGAAATCACATTGGCAAAAACCCTGAAGTGCTTATCATTTATCTTCCGGAATGGCAACAAAAGTAAAAAGGCATGTATCGGTAAGTATTAAAAAATGCACTAAAAATATGAATTAGTTAAACACCATTTCATTAAAAACAGAAACGGAATACTGTATGCAATGTATATGTTATGAAAGAAAAAAATCTACAATAACAAAACATTCAATACAGAATTAATTTGAAAAAGGCTGTAAATGGAAGATGGAGAGTGGAATGTGTTGGTTTTGTTTAGATGGACTGCTGAAATGTTTGAAATAAATATACAGAGTCAATTAAATTCAGGGTGGCGGGCAAAAAGTAAACAATCTCAGAGGAACCGCCAAGAAGAATTTGTAAATATCGAATTGTGGTTTTTGGAATCAGTGTTTTTACTTTTCATATCCATCCCTTTTTAAAAGCAACTTAATAAGAACTTGTTGATCATAAACTGGTATGTTTAAGAATGTTAAATATCATGTTTACATTGCCATCTATTTTGGGAGCACGCAGCTTCTATAAATCCACACACACACAGACACACTCTCTCTAACACACACACGAGATGATGAGAAGACATGGTTGGGTTTAGTCGTCCTCCTCTTTAGCTTGAGAGAGTGCTTTCTCTGAGCTCGCCGAGCCCTCGAAGCGCTGGGAGGCGATGGCAGCTTGATGGGACATGCTCTTCCTCACAATGTCTCCCTTTCTCCATAGCGTAATCTCCTAAAAATCCACAAAAGTGTCAATTCATACACAAATTTCATACACATCTAATTGAAACAAATTCATGCTCTGGGCATTTAATAGTTAAAATATCACTACTGCTATGGAAACGAGAATGAATCCTTAAAATCAAAGTGGTCAAAGTAGTTATTTCTGGACATCAATAATGAAAATTAAAGTGCCTTTGATCATATAGTCTAATTGTTTTCACATTTAGTTTGCTATTTTTTATTTATTAATTTAGTAAGAAAGTAAAGACCAACCTGTTGTTTGAAGTAACGTCTCTCTTCTTCATCAATGAGTACAAGATTCAGGTAATAACGAACAGAGAATTTCTTATTAATGTCCCTCATGGTGGGCGTCATCTCGTACCCAGCCAGAAAAAGACGGATAGGGATGGATTCACCTAAAGCCAGTAAAGATAAAGTAAAAAATCAGTACACTCCATTTCAACATTGAAAATACGAGTCACTTGTAAATGTTGTATGTTTCACATGAATCCATCAGAAACGTAATCCTTATAAACGGAGGTGTTAAGAATTGTTTCATACCTCGTACAGGTGCTCCATCCATTATCTCGTATTTTGCAATGGTGTCATTTTCATGGTACACATTTGGCCCTGTCCCTGTTGTCTCCCGTTTAATAATATCAATCTCCATGTGTTTGATCTTAATTCGCACCAACAGGAAATAGATCTTCCCTACAATCACATCTTTCAGGTGATACCTGTCATTTTAGGTTAAAAAAACAAACAAAAACAAAACAGGGAAAAATGCAAGCAGGATATCAGTGGATGACCAATTTAAATTATATTAACTGTTTTAAGTTAAAACCATAAACTCACATTCTCTGGCTGTTTTGACTTACTTGGACTTGTTGTACTCAAACTCAATGTGTAGACAGTCCTCAATTCCCACCTCCATCTTTATGGAGGAGTTGAGTTCTGGATATGTGCTGAGTGTGTGCACTACAATGTCCAACTCTTTGCAGACGTCATTAAGTCTCCTGCTGATGATCGCCCGCAGGAAATAGCTGTAGGAAGAATTAGAGTTTAAAATAAAAGCATCTAAACCAACATCAGAGAGTTAACTGTCAACTAAGTGCACAATATATTGTAGGAGCTCATATAAACAATTTTTCCAGAGCTACACAACGGGAACATACCGTAGTTTTACATTCTGGCCTGTGTAGGACTCGTACGGTTTCTCCACGTGTGTGAACTCAAAATCAAAGGTCTGAGATTGAGCCATTTCTCCAGGCCGAGCTAAATCCTTAACCAGAGAGACAAACTCATGATGGTTTCCTCTGTCGAAGTACAATTCTAAGAGAAAAAGCCACAGGAGAGAAAAATTTTACTAGATGCACAACTTTTGACATGGTTTCTTAATAAAATGTTCATATTTTGTTTGTGTATTTGGTTTTCAAGTGAGAACAATTCGTTAAGGCTTTGCGTTTGTTAGGTTTGCCAGGTATGGAACAACACAGCGTTATGGGGTCAACTATGCCTTTAATATACAATAAATAAGGCTGTATAAAGATCTTGATTAATTAAATAGGCGTCAGGTGAAAAAAGACATTTTCTTTCCATAAGTTTCTTCACATTTCTTTGAAATGCATTACATTTTAAATACATAGAACAGGGAGAAACAAGCATCTTTTAGGGAACCTGTTCATTAGTGAAAATAAAAACAGGATTCATAGCTTGTGACGAGCATCTAGGGGTGTGGTTCCTATTATACCGCCTTTTTTACTAGAGATTGGAGTCGACTCATTTCGGAGAATCGGTTCTTTTGAACAAATCGTTTCAAAGAACGGGATAAAAGAACTTATTTGTTGCACATAGTACTGCTCATTATGGGTTTTATTTATAAGAGTGTTTTATTTTTCCATTTAATCTGTTCCACTTCAGATTGTTGTAGCCATGATTCAGCTAACATCGCGACATTTATTTAGACCCTAAATATAATTTGCATTTACATTAAATAATAATACAATTTTATTTATCTTTCTTAACTGAAAAAGTTAAGGCTATTTTTAAGTCCAGCTCCTTTTTGGTTGATAAACCATTTCCAGTACAGGTTTTACAATTTGTAACATTTCTGCTTTTTAAAAATCAACTTATTTTTCGCCTCACTCATCAGTTCTCGACTAGTGAGGAAAAATGTCCGAACAGGTCGGTGAGTTGTTGGTTGAATTCGGAACCGCATACTTGTGGATTACTCTTGCTATTTCTGTCATATAAAGATACGCTCAGAGCGATTTCTGAAAGATTAATTGCGAATCGTGAAGGAATCATTAGGAAGGCTTTGTGAACCGGTTCGTTCAGTTCACTGAAAATATCCAACTCGAAAGAACGATTCGTTCACGAATCAAAAATGTGTCATATGTCACGAGACTAGGTGTTTGTAATTTGACACTTCAACATATTAACATGTTATTACTTAAGTCTGGATCCCCCTTAATGAAACGTGCTTTACAAAACAAATGTGCCCGCGACACAAACGAACACAGATGTAAATGTTGAATTGTCACATACTCACATTACAGCACATACGTTGCGTCATCAAGCATCGCTCGTTCAAACGTTGTACTTACCGATTTGCCCGATAAATTCTATTTTGATCCCTTGATGCTCGAGTCTCTTGCCTGGGTTCTTTAGGGTTACGTTGACTTTCCCAGAGACTGTCTCCCCATCGTAAAACAGGAAGTATTTGTCCTTTTTCCCGTCCTCTGTTTTGTGCTCGACCTTTTTTCTCGTCTCGGCATCATTTAGAACTATGTCAATTTCAGCAGTTTGTCCGAAACTGAAGAAGCTCATCCCGACACCTTGTGCTGGACTGGAATCCTTTTGTATTCTAACACCTGGCCCAATTCCACATCAATACAATTCCGTCTTGTTCACAAGCGAGCTACTTTATCTTCTGCAATGCATGTACGTTTATAATAGGCTGTTTAAAATCAATTTGAGCGAATTCTTCATATGGCTACTTTATTAACACATGCAGAGGATTTTTTTTTCGGCAATGTACAAACAGGCACAAGCTTCAGAAATGAATTTACTACCGGGATAGTGTAGTCCACGTAAATTTTCTTTTCAAAATAAAAGTCTTAAAGAGACGACTGAAATCAAATCTAACAAATTGATTTTAATTTACCAAGAGTCAAATGTACGTAAGAGTAGTTGTATTTAGGAGTTTTAAATATTTTCATTTTTAATAATTTGATGTACACAACATGTTGTTTTATACCCAAGGGTGCACATAAGTGGTGCGCATACGCGACCAAAATAAAAAAAATGTGATGTGTAAATTATGTTCAGACTAGGGCTGCACGATTAATCGCATGCGATATTTAACGCGATATCGCATGCAATTAATCGTGCAGCCCTAGTTCAGACCGTTCATTTGCGTATCGACATTGTCGACAGCTGTTAATGCACAATCGCCTTTTTAGATCGACTGTGGTACTGTATACGATTTCCACTCACAGCGAAAGCATAAATCTAGGATATGCGCTGCCTAGCCTAGCCTAGAACACATCAACACTGATATTTCTCTCTCTCTCTCTCTGGTTTTATTGGCGGGTCGCAACCAACTTGTTCAGGTGCATACCGCCACCTACTGTACCGGGGTGTGCAACTTCAGGGCTTCATGTACTTGGCATGGTTATAATCATTAAAAAAAATTAAAAAAAATAAATAATATTTCCCATTTCCTATATGCTGTGCTCTAACCCTGTATCTTTAAGAAAATTAAAGAGAGCCTTGCTACATTCCCACATTTTCTCATCTGCCCCCAAAATCCCCTTCAAACTCCATTCTTGTTCCAACTCATATATCTTATCTTGCAAGATCCTCCTTTCTGCATTATATTTTTTACACCTCATAATGATATGCTCCACATTTTCTGGAACATTACAGTCATCACAATTATCTGATATGCATTTTCCCATTAAAAACAGGGTTGATTTTAAACCAGTATGTCCAAGTCTTAATCTTGATATAATCACTTCTTCTCTTCTGCATTTCCCTTTAAAAGCCTTGACGTTAATCGATTTCTGAACATTATAATAATATCGCCCTTTGTTATCTATGTCCCACTTTTTCTGCCATGATTCTCTCACTTTTGTTTTAATTAATGATTTGGCCTCACCTTTACCAAATGGGACTTTCATTATTTCCTCGTCCTTTAATTTCAGTGCATTCTTTGCAGTCAAATCTGCTATCTCATTGCCCTCCACGCCAGTATGAGCTGGAACCCAACAAAACTGAAGATTAATTCCAATTCTCTCTATATTTAACATTATCATGGATATCTCTTTATATAAATAACACTCTCACGCAGCACTTCCGGTTTGCGATCCTCTCCCCAACTGATATTTCTTCTTCTGCTTCTTCTTATGATGTTTAATGGCGGTTGGCAAACCAGCTTTTGGTGCATATTCCGCCACCTACTGGGATGGAGTGGTCTTGTGAAAAGGGTCAATTACAAATTTTTTTTTTCAATTCTTCCACCTATATTTTATTATATACATTTGTTCTTTTCAGAAAATTAATAAGAGCTTTATAACCTTTATGAAAACTGTTTAACACATTCTGTAATATCATATAATTAATGCCGGCAGATTTTAATTACTCTTCTAACTGTATTCTTTCCCTTTCATATGCCCTACAGTTAATCAGCACATGCTCTACAGTTTCTGGAATTCTTGATTACATTGACCAGATTCATGTCTTCCTATCATCTGGAGTGATTTATTAAGAGTAGAGTGTTCAATTCTCAATCGAGATATAACTGTATCATCCCTTCTATTACCATAAGCAGTTCTTACATGTCCCACTTGTTTATTTATATTATACAAATGTCACCCTTTGTTACCTTTATCCCATCTCTCTTGCCATATCTTTCTGACAGCTACTTTAATTAAACCTTTAATTTCAGATTTACTCAAGGGTATATGTATGTCAATATTTGTGTGCTTAAGAGCCTGTTTCACTATCTAACTGATATTTCATTCACTCGGCAGCGCTAAAACCAGCAGCGCAACTTACTTGCACTGTTGCCAACTCTCGCAAGATAAATAAGCAACCGCAGTTTAAAAAACAAGCCCAAAACAAGCCCAATATATATATTTTTTTAATTATCATCAATATTATTTATTATCAATAATTTATTACCAATAAATGAACATGCAGCATATTAAACTGAAACCACTCTTTTATCTGAAAAGCAAAAACAGATATGTTAATTTACAAAAATCAGCAAACTGCAACAAAGTGAGAACAAAACTCATCTCCAATCACCTGTGAGCAGAATAGGACTGGAGAGATGGAAAAGGAGAAAAACACAAGAGCTTCAAAGGGGAACTGTAACATAGCCACATATTTATAGCCTACTAAAATATAGGCTATTCGAACCAAATGTATAGGCTATATAGTATTAGTATAGGACTACTTGTTTTTTTGTTACAGCCCATGATTATTAATACATTACAAAAACATTGTAAAAATTAAAAATTAGGCTAAAAGAAAGTCATCCCACTCCTCTGTCTACTTCTGTCATCGCTTGGATTACAGCGTCACGCGCCTTGTTTTTGAACGTGATTTTCTCCAATGAGGGGGAGGAGGGGGCGGAACATTTGGCAAATTAAGCTGCAGCATTTATATTATTGCACTGGTTGGCTATTAACTGTGAGCAGACAGAGTGTCAACCAATGCATTGGAGAATACGGCGAACATAAATAAAGAAACGAAGTTGCTTGTCAGATTTCCCTAACAAGCAACCATATTTTTTAAAATAAGCCCAAAAAACCGCAACCCGGGATTTTTTCACGCAACTTTACAAAAAAAGAAGCCCAAAGTCGCGTATAATACGCGGACTTGGCAACTATGCTTACTTGCCGGCAACCCGCCAAAATAAAAGCGTGCTGATTTTAGGTTTGAAAATGATGAAAATACATACAAAAAAAAAAAAGAGTTAATATAAGCATTGTATTTTTAACTGTACTATAAAATAACTGTATTTTTATTTTATACTCAATTTATTTATTTTTAAATATAATAGTATTATCACACTGATTATTTTGTTTATTATTTTATTATATTTTATTAAAATACAAAATAAATAAATGCAATAATACTATTATCACTATTATTAATTATTTTATTTTTATAGTTATATTTAATGAGTCACACTATGTGCAGTGTGAGTTACAAACTAATTCTCCAGGTGCTCTCATGAGAACCAGACCGAAAAACTTATGTGCACCCCGTTTATAACATTTGTCATATTGGACGCGGTTTCTGCAGGTCTTAAAAAGTCTTAATTCCCGCTTTCTCAAATTAAGGTCTTAAAGTAAAGTCATTAAGTATTCCATCAGTTCATAAAGTCGTGGCATTAATTGTTGCATGCAATGAAAAAAAAATCTCAGTATTTTTGTTTTGTTTTCGAATACAAATATCTAATCATCCTTAAATCAAGATGCATTAACTTGAGAAGCAAAATGAAGCCTTGTTTTCTGAAGAATTTAACAATATGAAGCGAGTTTATGTTTAAAACAAGAACACATATTAAATCATATGGAAACTTGTTTTCCCTTTGAATTAAGATTTTCTAGCGGAGCCCATTCGAAGATATTTCTTCTTTCTTTAATCATGAACTCACTCAATTTATAGGCTATATATTTCTCAAAAAACAAGACTTTTTATTAAAAAGTTATGAAGCTCTGTTGGAAGTTGTTTTTTTTTTTTTTTCAAAAAGGTCATAAAAAATCTAAAATTTACCTTCAGAAAACCTGCAGTAACCCTGATCCATGGCTGATTGTACAATTAGGAGAGCCCTGGTTTGTTGAAATGTCATATTAAATCAAAATTATACTTATTTATAAGTGGAACGTCTTTGAAAATGCTGACAAAAAGATGTAATGATGCACCCTTGGGGAAGTTCAAGCTCAAACCGGTGTGCACCGTTTTGCTACGGTTTCCGGTTTGAACGACATGTTTCCTGGAAACGGTGACCTCATCACCAAGGCGATCGAGAGCTCCCCTGAGAAGCGGCTCACCCTGTCTCAGATCTACGAGTGGATGGTGAAGAGCGTCCCTTACTTCAAAGATAAGGGCGACAGCAACAGCTCTGCCGGCTGGAAGGTAATGGCTCTCCAAGGCCAAGCACAAGTGTCATTAAAAGTAGCATTAGAGGTCCCATCATATTGTATATGTTATATTTAAATACACTAACATATAGAATTATTTTTGCACACTGAAAGCATCCTTTAATGTGTCCATTAAATAATTATTTTGTTTTTGCAACTCAATTAAAAAAACAATTAGGAAAAATAAGGCATGTGATGCACAATAAGTGGAAGGATGAATGTTTTTCTACATTTATATGTGTGCAGTTGTTAGCTAAAATAGCAATTCATATCTGATAGTAATCTTTTACAAACAAAAACACACATTTTCTTAATATTTTAATCTGTTTTTTCCAGTAAAAATACCTAAACTTCCTTAAAAGAAGATACATTTAATGTGTAAGAAATTAAGACTTTTTTTTTTGAGAATATATCTTAAATTAATTGTTTATCATTTCAAGTATAAATCTAACATAATCAAGAAACAAGATTTATTTATTTATTTAGGCAGTATATTTCCTCCTAAATTACCTTTTTACCTGACCTAATTACCTCTACCTGACTGGTAATTTTTGTTGGGAACCTAATGTAGGCAAGCTTTACAGGGGGTCCTGGGTGGGTCTGGCCTGACCAACCATGTTCTAGCCCACCCCTGCAATCACCCACAACTGTCTGTCCCACCTTATATCTCTTATATCTTATTAGTGAATTTAATTCACTAGTTCTAAGATATAAGAGATATATAATATAATGCTTTTGACTTGAGCTAACTTTTGGTGTTACCACATGAAGCACATGTTGAGATAGCTTTTTTTTTTTTACGTAGCGTAATATATGACAGTAACAATTATCCTTCAAAAGCACAGTTGGATTGATTCTTTCTCAGAGCAAATGAATGACTTGCGGTTTGTGGAATTTAAGGCTCGAAAGAGGAGGGAACTGAGCTCTCAGTGTTCAGAAGAATGCATAACATCTCAGTATCAGCTGCGCTTTTGCTGATGCCAGTTCAGTTTAATCGTTTATTATCCTTGACAGAAGAACTTGTGGATTGGCTTTCTGTCATTAGCCTGATGTAGAGAGAGGGTTAAATAAGTGGAAATAACAAATCGTACACACTCATGAACAAAAAAAAAACGTTTTTATTTATTTTTTTTTTTTTTAACTTGCCCTCATGTCATTCCAAACCCGTATGACTTTTTCTCTTCTGTGAAGGTGGAAAATTTGTTTTTTATGCTGGTACTGAATCTTTCATGCTTCAAAAAGGATGCAAAACCGTCATTAAAAAGTGGTGCATACGTCTTGTGCACTATATTATTCCAAGTCTGAGCTTAAGGCATACAATAGCTTTGTGTGAAATATAATGAAAAGAGTGACCAGTAAAGTCTTTAAAGTTTCTACTTTTTGTGAGTAAACTACTGTTATCTTGTTGTGTGACTGAACTGTGGTCATTTTCATCGGTTGTAGTCATGTGACGTATTTTTCCAGCGTTTTTGCAGAGGTATGTAGTAGAGCCTGACCGATATATCGTTTTGCCGATATTATAGGCAGATATGAGCCTGTCGCCGATATATCGCTATCGGCTAATATGCCGCTGATATGAAATTTTTTTTACAGAACATATAACGCAGATAAAATGCTTGAAATGGTGTCGGGTGGCGTTCGATAGTGCTCCTCGAGCTGAAGGGATCCCCGAATTTGGTGGAGATCTGCCGGCGCGTTCGCGAGATAGTGACACCAGTCAACACTTTCACTTCAGTAAAGAGGTCTCTTGTTCAGGCAGCAGCATTCAAGCGTGGTTTTATTTGACCCTAAGTGCCCTGCGAAGTGAACTTCACATGAAATTCCGCCATGATTCCAGTTCCAAGGGAATGTACACGTTACATTCAAAGGGCATTAAAGTGCGCGAGACGTGAATTTATATTGTATTTATTTACAGAGGTAGGGGAAAGCGGGGCACAAAGTAACACTTTTTGACTTTCTCAGTTTGTGTAAATCCACATGGGGTTCAGAATATATATAT